TGAACCCTGCAGGGACACCGACCCTCCAGGACTGAGATTGGTGACCCCTGGTGTAGTCTATTTGAAAGAGAACCGGTCACAGCAGTTGTGTTTCTAGGCATAGGTTGATTCCATCAAGGAAATGGGAGCGTGCACGCGTTTTAAACAGTCGCACGCATCACATCAGCTGTTAGCGCGAGTGATCATCTTCTCGTTCGGCATTCACCTGCTTTCTTCTGCTCGCCCGAACGCAATTAGTTTTGTCAGTCGGGTTGCTCCTCAGTTCTTAGATCGTCTTTGCATGCTTAATGGACCATCCTAATTGTCCAACTCTGCATTTAAGAATTATTATCCGGGAAGATTATTATCAACCAGCCAAAGTGGCTCGGGGGGTGTCTGTGTTACCCGCCAGCGCTGAAATCTACCCGCATTTGGCAGGTGTTAATCCTGTGTAAGATATAGAGGTTTTGTTTTAATAACAACAGCAACACCGTTCCCTTCCAGACTGAATCTGTTTCTGAATGATTCAGTGATTCGTTCATTAAGAGTCACTTTCAGTGAATCAGCTCTTTTTTTGATAAAAATGCTAAAAGGGAAAGCAGCAGGAGATCATTAGCCTGACTTCACATGAAAGCCTGTGTCTAACGCATCAATGAAGCGTAAACTCACGTCTTTTACTCATCAGTAGAATAGTATTTTCCTCTGAGTAGAAGCTCGATGGTCAAAACACAATAAAAACAGATCAAAAGCATAAAACTGATGATTTGACATAGAAATCAAGAGTCTAAACACTCAGAGTCAGTGAAAAGCCTTGATGAACACGTTTAATAACTAAGACTCGCTGACTTTTTGACTCTCTTCTCCACGCACTGACATTATTGGAAGATGATTGCTGCATTCACGAGCTTTTTTAATGGCTGTAGTTTACTGAATTTAAACAAGCGAATGAAGCTGAACATTACTGCATTTAACTTCTTTGTTTAAAATCAACACACATTAACTGTTTGCAGACATCTTTTGTTTTTGTGTGCCTATAGGGTTATGATTGTGTCAGCGTCCTCATCTGAAGAGCAGCGGCACACTGAACACCCCGGAGGCTCTGGAGGTTTGATTGTGGATTAAAATAAACAGACTTCTTCATGTCAGAGTCCAGTGTAGAGTGTCAGCTGTTCTACTTTATACTGTGCTGCTGTGTGTTCAGTAGTGTGATCTGCTCCTGCTTTCCCTCTTCAGTCTACTACTGCATGATGAACTGAGGCCAACAGAGCAGCATCTGATTCCCCACAGCAGACAGACAAGAGCTGACGAAGGACAGCACATGCTAATCACTGTGTGCTGTGTTTATGCACATGTTTATCTCTGCTGTAAGTGCGCACTAATGAGTGTGTGTGTGTGTGTGTGTGTGTGTGTGCGCGCTCAGTGAGCTGCAGATTTAGGGCACCTAAATTACCCCTTTGTTCTCCTCTGTCTGTTTCTGTCTGTAATTCAGCTTTCAGGACAAACACTGAGGATGAGGAGCAGAAAACTACAGCAGAACCAGCCCAGAACATACACTCACAGCCTTCACTCACTCACTCACTCACTCATTCATCACTCTTTCATCTATTAATTAGAACAAACTATTTCCTATAGACTCTATTGCTAAATCAGCCCTGAGGAAAACTACATACCCTCACAGCATTCACTCATCCACAGATCCACACTCGTCCACATCTCACTCATTCATTACTCTTTCTTTCATTCATTAGAACAGACTGTAGAACATGAGAACAGTTTTACATAGACTCTAATGCTAAACAGGCCTGATCCACCCAGCATTCACTCATTCAACATTGATTCATTCATTCACACACAGACACACAGATATATACACATACCTACATTCATTCATCACTCCATTCATTCATTCATTGCAATCCCACATTGATTGATTCATTCATTCATTCATTATGCCCATTCATTTATTAACATCTTCATACATTCATTCATTATTCATGCCTTTGTTCATTTGTTGCTCCATTCCTGTTCATCACTTCATTCATTCATTACTCTATTTATTCATTTTCATCCATTCATTCATTAACTCACTTTCATTCATCACTCCTTCATTCATATATTTACTCCTTTCATTCCCAAATTAATTACTTCACTGCTTTATTATTTCATTTATTCATTCTCACAAATTTGTTAATTTCCACATGCATTTATTTATTCCTTCATCCATCCACTCTTTCATTCCTTCCTATATTCATCCATCCATTCACTCACTTATTCATTCATCCATTCACTCCATCATTTCTTCCTATATTCATCCATCCATCCCCTTACTCACTCATTTAATCATCCATCCACTCGTTCATTTCTTAATATATTCATCCATTTATTCATTCACTCTATCATTCCTTCCTATATTCATCCATTCATTAATTCCTTCACTCTCATTCTTCCATCCACTCTTTCATTCCTTTCTATTTTCATCAATTTATTTACCTTTTCACTATCAATACTACCAATATTCATCCATACATCCATTTGCTCACTCATTCATTTACTTTTTCATTCCTTCCTATACTCATCTGTCCATTCATCCATCCATTCATTCATTCATTCATTCATTCATTCATTCATTCATTCATTCGCTCTTTCATTGCTTCTTATATTGGTCCATTTATTTATTCACTCATTCATTCCTTCCTATATTCATCTATACAATATTTCATTCACTCATTCATTCCTTCCTATGTTCCTCCATTCCTTCCTATATTCATCCATCTATTCAGTCAGTCACTCACTGTTTCATTCCTTCCTATTTTCATCTATTTATTCATTCACTCTATGATTCCTTTCCATATCAAGTTAATCATTCACTCGTTCAGTCACCCATTCACTCTTTCATTGCTTCCTTTATCTATTCATTCATCCATTCACTATCATTCCTTCCTTTAATCATCCATCCAGTCATTCAGTTATTCATTCATTCATTCTTTCCCTCCTTCCTTCCTTCCTTCATTCATTCATCCATTCAGTCATTTTCACATTCATTCATTCATTCATCCATCCAGTCATTCATTCATTCATTCATTCATTCATTCATTCATTCATTCATTCATTCGTTCGTTCGTTCATTCTGTTATTCATCCATCCATCCATCCATTCAATTATTCATTCATTCATACATTCCTTTATTCATCCATCCAGTCATTCATTCATCCATTGACTGTCCTTGTACTGGGAGACTACACTGCTTGGTTTCATTAGTAGCTATCAGGGTGAAGCTCACAACACGTGAGGGACATGTGTAACCCCAAAATCAAGAGAAAGTAGAGCTGGTTTATAATATGACACAGTGTGAGAAACCCTGCTGACATTCATCCACAAACCCACAGTAATGCAGCTCTCCACTGCAGACGTTACAGTGGGAGGAAACTTGATCTTCAAATCATCTGATCATTGTTTGAATGTAAATGTGAAAGATTTCAGCATCAAGTGTTTCTGCATGCCAGATAATTGTTTAATATGATATTACACATGTCCTCATGCTGCTATGGCCATTATACTCTTCATCTGTAATGAATCCAGAGATTTCTCGTGATTTTGAGGTGAAGTGTGGGGCGCTCTGAGAGATTCTGTGACTGCTGGCATCTCTATCTGCTGTACTGGAGGAACACAGCAGCATGTGCTGATCTTCCAGAGCAGAGTAATGTGGATCATCAGTCTGGAGGATCAACACATGCAGATCAACAACACCCGGGATCAGGTTACTGACTACAGCTACAGGGAGACACTCTCCTAATCCATAATCTATAATCCATAACCCATACCTGGAAGCAGACGGATCTGAAAGTCTAGATTCTGTCAATCAGGAGAGAGAGAGAGTGAGAGAGAGAGAGAGAGAGAGAGAGAGAGAGCATGAAGAGGAAACAGCGTCAGTCCTTCAGTATAGTAGTATAGCGTGGCTGGTTGCTAAGCTCATCCTCCTGAACAGAAACTAAACCTTTTTTGTACAGTATCAGTATACAGTATCTATAATGGTTGCTAGGGTGTTGCTATGCAGGTCTAAGGTGACTCCTACACTGCTTTGGGCAGTTGCTGTGGTGTTGATATGCAGTTGCCGGGGCGTGAGCAGTAATTTTAGCATGCTAGTATAGTATGTGGTTGCTACTCTGTTGCTTTGCAGTTGCCAAGGTGACTGAGTGTTTATGTTTTGCATAGCAACAGTATATAGTTTCTACAATGTTCTGAGTGGTTGCTACGGAGTTGCTATGCAGTTGTAGGGTGATTCTAGAGTGCTTTGAGTGGTTACAGTGGTGTTGCTATGCAGTTGCTAGGGTGTGCACAGTAATTTTACCACTCAATTTTAGTATCTTGTTGCTATAATGGTTGCCACTGCATTGATTTGTAGTTGCCAAGGTGACAGAGTGTTTATTTCTTGCATAGTAACCGTACACAGTTTCTACAATGTTCTGGTTGGTTGCTTGGGTGTTGCTAAGCAGTTCTGAGGTGACTATTAAACAATTATAAGTGGTTGCCGTGGTGTTGCTATGCAGTTACCCAACAGTTTCAGCATGTTGCTACAGTGTGTTGTTTTGTATAATTGGCAAGGTGTTACTATGCAATTCTCAAAAGTTACCATGGCAACTGCTGGAGTGCTCTGATTAGTTGCGTTGGTAACCAATGTCTCGGTTGCTACTATTGTAGGATGTTTTTGAAAGGTTGTTAGTTTATTGTTAAGTGGTTGCTAGGGTGTTGTGGGTGGTTGTCGGGCTGTTGCTATTCTGCTTGATATAGCAGGCCTGAACATTAAAACACCACAGCTGAGCATGACAAGACTTCAGGTTCAGCTATCCTGCAGATCTGAAACACTCCTGACCACCGACATCAGGAGACTCTGTGTGTGTGTGTGTGTGTGTGTGTGTGTGTGTGTGAGAGAGAGAGAGAGAGAGAGAAGCTCAGTTATCCTGCACTGACAAGAACAAAGTAGTGTTTTGTTCTCCAAGTGCCGGGGAGGCTGGATAACACACACACACACACACACACACACACACACACAGAGAGAGAGAGAGAGAGCAGAGAAAGAGCTGTATGTGTTTGTCTGAGTGCGAGTGTTTAAGAGCGTGTGTCCGTGTGTGTGTGTGTGTGTGTGTGTGTGTGTGTTTGCATATGAAAGATTGTGTGTGTGTGTGTGTGTGTGTGTGTGTATGTGTATGTGTATGTGCGTGTAAGAGTGTGTGTGTTTGTGTGTGAGTGTATGTGCACGTGAGTGTGTGTGTGTGTTTGTGTAGATATGGAGTGTCCCGCTCTGAGCCCTGACCCGCACCTCCTGCAGTAGGTCGGCCTGCTCGATGGCCTTCAGCACGTTCTTCTTGGAC